GCTAACTCCCCAGTAGCCCCGAGTGAGAAAAAGCCCGTTACTGCAGTATCACCCGTACAGCAGTGGTTTCCTCAAGGCTCAGGCCAGGCACCGTGAGGAAAAAGCACGGTGGCTTTCTTGCTGCAGAGACCCCAGAGCCTCAGGGTGAGGATAGCAAGGTGGTGTTTGAGCATTTTGGCTCAGTCATAGCTCCAGAACAGCAGCTTCTGATTCTAGTTAAGCTCCGTAGAAACCCGAGTAAAAGCAGAATTCCCCAACCCCAGCTGAAGAGGCTTAGGGTCCTTTGAAGACTTCAATGAAAAGACTAAAACCTCACATAAACTTACATTTTCTCCACCATCTCTGGTTCCTTAGCCCAGGAGTCCCTGCAGAGCCAGTCCGGGTGGGTGCCGCTCCTGCTAGCCCTGCTGTACGAGTACACAGCCAGCAGCTCCCGCTGGCAGCCTTATTTCTCCCTCTGGCAGGACTTCAGGAGCCTGGATCACCCCATGTTCTGGTAAGCTGGAACGACGTGGGGCTGGGAGTCATTTTCTCCACCATCTCTGGTTCCTTAGCCCAGGAGTCCCTGCAGAGCCAGTCCGGGTGGGTGCCGCTCCTGCTAGCCCTGCTGTACGAGTACACAGCCAGCAGCTCCCGCTGGCAGCCTTATTTCTCCCTCTGGCAGGACTTCAGGAGCCTGGATCACCCCATGTTCTGGTAAGCTGGAACGACGTGGGGCTGGGAGTTGGCTGAGCACAAGCACGGTCCTGGGGCAGACAAGCAGAAGCCTTGGGGATGGATGTGGTCCTGCTGCATGTCTCCAGAGGTCCCTGTTCTAGCCCTGTGCTGCCACTGGCAGAAGCCTGAGGGACCCCTTCACCTCAGGTGCAAGCTGGCTACAGGCATAACCAGAAAACAGGGATGTGGAGAGCACCAGGAAGCTGAGATTTTGAAGGAAAGAAGAGTTTATAGACCCTTTTTCCCTGGGAAAGATGGAGGTGAACCTGCTTTTTTTTTTTTTTTCTCTTGCAACAGGCCTGAAGAAGAGCGAACGAGGCTCCTGCAGGGCACCGGCATCCCAGAAGCTGTGGACAAGGACCTGGCTAACATCCACCTGGAGTACAGCACCATCATCCGGCCTTTCATGGAGTCCCACCCCGACATCTTTGACCCCAAGGTGCACACGCTGGAGCTGTACAAGCAGCTGGTGGCGTTCGTCATGGCCTACAGGTGAGAAGCGAGGGCTTTGCTCCCACAAAGAGGAGGAGCGGGAGCACAGGAAAGAAGAGAGGTTGTGTTACTGAAAAGGTTGCAGTTGCACAAGAAGGGTAAGCAGAGGCTGAAGCTTGCCCTGTGCTGCAAGGCGTAGAACTGCTTTGTCTTCACCTCCCATGTTGTAGCTTTCAGGAACCTTTAGAAGAGGAAGATGAAGATGAGAAAGGGCCCAATCCTCCCATGATGGTGCCTGTAGCGGATATTTTGAATCACGTGGCCAACCACAACGCCAACCTGGAATATTCTCCTGTGAGTGCAGTCGGCACTGTCTCGGTCTGGTTCCTCTTCACTGCGTGGCCATCGGGCGCGGGCGCACGGCACGGCTGGCTCTGAACCCTCAGCTCTGCCGCTGGGGCGGCGAGTCCGGCCTGGGTCTCATTAATACAAAGCTGTTTTGCTCAACATACTCCCCTCACTGCACAGGAATTAACATCACCTGAGCCCCTTTGATTTCAGCCCCTTTGATTTGCAGAGGCAGCCCTGAGAGCCTCTCCTCTCCCCGCTTTACAGCACTGTTTGCGCATGGTCACAACGCGGCGCGTCGGCAGGGGACAGGAGGTCTTCAACACCTACGGGCAGATGGCCAACTGGCAGCTCCTGCACATGTACGGCTTCGCTGAGCCCTACCCGGGCAACACCAACGACACGGCCGACGTGCAGATGGTGACGGTGCGCAAGGCAGCGCTGCGGCGTGAGTGGCACCGCCTTCGGGGAAAAGGGTGGGGAGCCGCGTTCAACGCGGGGATCGAGGGTGAGGTGAAAAAGAAGCCTGGTCAGTTTGGGGCGCTTGGGGCTACATCTTGGGTTTTCTGCCTCCTGTTTCGCCCTTCTGTGTTCACCTTTGTCCTCTCCTCTGCAAGGCAAGTCAGGTTTGCAGCTCTGCTGTCTTTGAAAACAGGTGCCAGCAGCGAAGCGGAGCGGCGGCGTGTTGCAGAACAGTGTCAGCTGGAGATGGTGGGGGAAGAAGGTGCCTTCGTGCTCGGCTGGGATGAGGTGCTGACAGAGGAAGAGCTGTCCGTGACCCTGAAGGTAAGCACTGCCAGGTCGGGGGGAGAGCTGTGTGCAGAGCTGAGCACGCCGCCGAGCTGTGCAAATGGTTCAGGGAAGGGGGAGAAGACTGTAAAGGTGAGAAGCGGGGGAGGGTGCAGTTGCTCAGCTCCTATGCAGTGCCAGGCATCTTCCTCTCCCGAACTAGTCACCCACCCGTGCTCACACACCAGCCTGGAAGGGCTGGCTCCCTGGCTACTGCCACACTGGAGAGCTGTCACACCTTCGTAGGCAGTGGCTGAGATGTCCCTTATGACTGTTGCCAACGTCCAGGTTTGCTGTTGGAACGTTCTAACCCACGAGTTATTTGTGAAGAGGTACACAAACCAGTTTTACTCTTGCCTTCAGCACAGCTGAGGACTAATTCACCTGCTCCACGCGGCTCTAACCCCATGGCTCTGCAGAGGAGCAAGGCCGGTGTGCTCACGCTGCCTGTGACGCATCTCTTTGCCTGGGTCGTTACAGGTGCTGTGCATGTCGGAAGAAGAATTCAAGGAGTACAAGGAACAAGACGGCTGGGAAGACGACAGCGAGGAAGAGGAAAACTCGGCCCTTTCTAACGAGGCTCTCTCTAGACTTAAAACCCCGTGCAAGAAGCTCCTTTACGACAGCGTGCTGCTGACCCTGGAGTCGTACGGGTCAGACTTGAAAGCAGAGCAGGACTTGCTGAACAACAAGGAGGCTTACGAGAAGCTGAGTCAGAGGGAGCAGCACGCTCTGCACGTGCGCTACGGACAGAAAAGGATCTTGCATCAGCTGCTGGAGCTGGTACAGTAGAAACCTGCCTGCTCCGGGAAACGAACTTGCCTCGAGAAGGGAAGGTGGTCAGCCTTTGGCCAGCGAGAAGAAATGGCAAGACCGAGTATAGGCCTGCTTGTCCCTCACGTGGCTTTTCAGCTACCTCTACATAAATGATCTTTCGTGGCACTGAAGTGGTTTTGGGGTGGCTTTATCATCTGAAGCACGACTGTCACCTTCCAGAGGACTTCAGAAAACCCAGACCTCCTCAGGGCTCTGGACGCTGCCAGAACAGCTAGTGGGTTCTTTTATTCAAGGCAAGAACTGCTCCTTGTCCAGCTGAGGAGGGCAGGAATCCAGCTGGTGGCTCTCACCCTCCAGAGGTTCAGAGCAGGCACCTGGCAACGCTGACAACACTAAACTCTCAACCTATACTTGGGTCATTTTAAAGAGTACAAGCCCCATCCTGTCTGGTTTTTACGTAGGCTCAGTATAGCAAGATTTTACCTCTAGAGAAAGCATTTCTGTGTGAACTTACAAGCACCCTGAAGGAGCAGAGTCGCACTCGGGCACTACACGCGCTCCAGCTCCAGCTGCTGCAGTTCTTCCCTGAGCTCGGGCGTTGCTCTGCATCGTGTTTACCTCCATTCATATTTTTCCCCCCTCGGCAGTTTTATTTTGCCTGACAGAACACCGGAGGGTTTGCCGGCCAAGCTGTGTTTAATAAAGACAACACTTCTTACCCAGCCAACGCTGCCGACTGCAACAGGGTGTAAAGGCCCATCTAGGAGGAGGGGGATCTTTCCTGCTGCAGGTTTAATAGGACCTTTTTTTAATTCCCATTTTACGGGGCTGCAATGCAGCGGGTAATGCACACGGTAATCCTCGGGAAGCCACACCACCAGTACCGTTGCCTTTTTGGCAGTAGCAGCTGCAGGTTCCTTCCCTGCCAGGAGAGGACACAAAGCGCGGTGCCCTCCTCTTTCCCAGCCCAACGCGTGTCACTGGGATCTTGGCTGAGTCCTGTCCCCCTCTTTACACCAGTCTAAAGGGAACCAGCCGTGTACAGCAGCGTTAGTACAGAACCAGAGAGGCCTTTGAGCTTTGAGTCGTTAGGACGAGTAATAAGCTCTGCGTGTGGTCTGCTGGAGTGAAATGGCAGGGAAAAATAAAACTAAAAAAAATTCCCATGGCATCTGGACTACATAAAGAAAAACCAAGTTGCTGGTAGTTCTCTGTATCCTAACCCGACATGGGAGGAAGAAGAGTAAGCTGGAGTTGCAAGAGCAGAATGAAAAATATGCCAACTTCAAAAGGCTCAGTCTCAGCAAAACTGCTGACCTGCCGAAGAAATGCCAGAGAACTGCAGGAAGACACCCCTCTCCTTGCCACAGAAAACACTGCCTGGAGCTCACAGATCGAGAATTCCCTCTGAGCTGCTGTCAGTGGTGCCCTGGAGCTCATTCTCACCATCCCTGCACAGGAAATCCTCACCTCTCCAGCCAACAAGCTTTAACAAACATGCCAAAAAATCAAGCGGCAAAGCTCTTATTTCCTCCTATCTGCTGGGTTGCCAGGCATCAGCTACAGGATTTTTTGTGGCTCCTCTCCTCACCAGAGGGAGCAGTGTAGCGGGGCAGGAGGTGTTAAGGAGGAAGCCAGTGTGCTGATGATGCTCCCTCCGCCGCGAGCAGCCCTTCGAGACAAAACTCTGCTGGCAAACTCACAAAACTAACGACAGCTCTCACCCCTTTCCTTCAGAGGCCTTAAAAGTCAGAACGGTTCTTCCTCTCTGCTAGAAAACGAAGCTGGTTGTTTCCAACAGGCCAAAAGACACCGGAAAAAAAAAGCAAAAACCAAGCAAACCGGCAGGTTTTGGGTGG